AAAAAAAATATTAAATATTAAATATAACAGGAAATATAGCCAAAAGTGGTCAACATAAAGCGTTTCTGTTATTGCCACCAGTGTGAATTACAAATCCCGAAAATCCCGGGATTCTAGGCATATAATCCCGGGATTTTCGGGGCTTAAAAAAGACCGGGATCCCGGGATTAACATTCCTATAGTGCTGACTATGGTTGCCGTATGACATTTTTCGTTTGTACCACAATTTTCCTTTAAATATACCAAAATAGATTAAAATGCAGCTTGCTGAAATGTTTTCTGCTGAAGTTGTCGGTTTTGGTAGGTTGATTGTTGAAATGAAAATTTTATAATTTAAAGCTATATTTTTGTAGCTATATCTATTAAATATTTGTGGATCAGTGATGGGTATTTGGAGGATATTCTCCTATTTCTGAATGCGTCACCATGTGATATTACAAATATATATAATTAATTTGTATTTTAAAAAGGTTTTTCTTATCCAAAACTATTCAATTGTATAAAATGCCAAATCGGGGGAAAATGTACCAAGCAGAAAATAAATTTCCAAATGAACCACCCGTGGCAACTGTGGAATTGATCAGCTGTCTCGAAGGTTTGCAAGTTTTTGCAAATTTTGTGTTCTCGTACTTCTGTGGATATTTTGTCTCCTTGAGAACGAATGCTGCTAAATTGTCAGAATTTTTACTACTGGATAATTTTGTCGGTTCAATACGAGTACACAGTTATTAATACGCCACAATAAAATTGACAAATGAAGCTTTCATTGCCCAGTTAGTGGGCAGGTGTGCTCGAAATGTTAGCGAAAAAAATTATTAAAAATCATCCCGACGCTTAGCCTCTCGCAAATTACACTTTATTGTCCTAAAATTTAATGATCTATAAAACTGAATACCTAAAACTTTTCTAGAAACTTAATTTTTTTTAATTTAGGTCATGATACAAAAAAAGAAGGTAGTTTCACTTTGAAATTTTTTTACCTAAACTGTGCTTTTTAAATTGCTCGAGTATCACTTACTACGT